GGAACGCCCGGGCGCGGGGTCTTGGACCCCGAAGGCCTGGAGGAAGAGGAGGAGGAGGAGGAGGAGGAGGAGGAGGAGGAGGAGGAGGGGGGAGGAGGAAGAGGAGGAAGAGGAGGAGGAGGAGGAGGAGGACTCGACTTTTCAGTCCTTGAGCCAGGATGTTATCTGTACACATCCCTTGCTCTACTACTCTCTATCATCAATTCACATCGCTACTACAACCCTGTATCTCTCACATGTCGACGTTCTGGATATTCAGACTCCACTTTCACCCTCGATCTAGCTTATGTAGCTGGAGCGTGGTGTCACAAACCTTTGGGTATGATATCCATCTTGATTCCAATCATCGTTGTCGTTCTCCTTCTCATAACATGATAGGAACTCCAGTAGAGAAATCTTGTCATCGTCCAGCTCCAACGATTCGCCAACGTCGTTAGAGCTTACCTCGTAGCCGGGCGTCGCACTCCACGTCGTAATATGATGCTCCCTTCCTTGAGCTCTATCTTCCACTCACCAGTAGTCAAGAAGTGCATGTAGATCGGCGATAGCATCTTCTTAGTGAGTTGGTCTGCCACCATCACCGTTGTCGGTAAGTGAACAATGTTCCTGATCCTCCGCGTCAATCGATCTTCACGTAGTGCCAGAATGCCCACTCGATGATGTTTGTCATTCGGTAGTGACTTGGAGAAACATATGAGCTCGAAAAGATTCATTGCGTCAGTACACACATCCACTGGAACTAAATGCTGAGAGCGTAAGTGAACTTCCAATAGATCGCGTGCAGTAGGTGTCTTGCCGAATACTGGAAGATATTCCAACTCTGTAATCCGTGATGCTATGATGTTTGCCATTGCTGCACAAGAAACCGCAGGGTTAGTCTCCGAATGAGAGGTGGACCATGCAACTCTCTGAGACTTCTTTGAACTGAGAATCAACGGACAAGCCACTCCACCGAAAACTCGTGCTTCGTGTCCGTAGTATTGTTCTTGACTTCCGTGGCGTAATACCGCATGATCCTGTGCTAACGGAACGATACGTGCTTCTTGCGGGTAGCAGGTGTTGCTAGTAATATGGCCGCTGTCCGTCACTTGAGCCAGTCGTCGTTGTGGTCCAACATATCTGAAGTGTAGTCCATTCATTTCTTGATTAGCCAGTGCCTGCTTTAGTACTCCATTCAACTGTTTGACATGTATACCCTTCGGATTGATCATCTCTGTCTGAAGCTGAACGATCTCTTGAAGAATGTCGCCTCTCGTCTTGGTCAGCCATAGCATACTCATAAGCAGCGATCGAAAAAAAGCTGTGGTCCTTGTCACAGAGCTCAGCTGTGTCAGCGGTCTTCTCGACCATGGTAATTGGCTTGAGTCGAATCAGGTAAGGCTTCTGGTGTAGGAAGAAGTGTCCTGCCTTGATCTTCTCATGAACGATCCCACACCATGTGAAGGGTAGAGTATGTTGTTTCAGTTTGCCAAACTTGCGTTCAACCAGTTGCTGCACCCATGAGATCAAATTCTTCATAGCCTAAACTAACAAGTCATCCACATGCAACACAATGATACAAGCCAAAGTTGATCCCGTCTCGTCAAACATATACAGGAAGTTATCATCATGAAGCGACTTGTAGAACTTGAGCTCACTTAAGAGGAAATGCAGAAATGCCATCTGAAACAGAATAGGTCCATCTACCAATCCATAGATGGCCTTGTTCAGTAATAAAACAAACAAAGATCGTTCCACGTCCTCGACCGTCGTAAATCCAATCATGCGAAGATGTCGCCATACATTGGCCGGAGGTTGTAGCCATACTGTTCTGACGTTCTTACACTCGTGTCCGAGCTCCTTGGCCCTCGCCTCAATCTCCTGGAAGCGTAGGCCCTGTAAGAAGGCTGTTGAAACGTCGAAAGCTTCACAGTCCCAATAGTACTGAGCTCAAGAGTAATGGCCAACCTGTGTGACAGTGCTGATGCCGTTGATGAATGTCGGTGTACTCCTTCACGCTGTACGTCCATGAAGCCGCGTCCACACATGCGTGACTTGACTTCTGGTGGGTGTCTCGTGTTCCACTTGCGTACCCATACTGCGTCGATGGTGTTGGTACTGCAACTCGCCAGATCCAGAGTAAACACATCATGAGATACAAAGGATGCAATATCCTTTCGATCTCCGCTTTCAACATGCTCCCAGTACCTGATGACATCGTCCTCCGTCAAGAAATCCTCTTGGGTAACGGAGAAGCACTCGTCTGCAAGAATATCGTACCAAAAGCAAGTCTCTTTCTGCCAGGGTCCTGGAATAACTAAGAATGGTTCTTGTGCCGTCCATGCCGTGCTGTCTGCTCTGGTGGCGGCAAGCCAGTTCTGAACCCTGCCCGCGTCTTCTGCTGCGTGTGTCATAGGGTCGAAATCATCAAACGGAGAGGCATCCTGCATCTCACTGACCTTGGACGTTTTCACACAGTACTGATACCATGATGGAGGTGCCACCGAAAAGAGGGAGTCTT